TGTCCCTTAGCTAAAACTTGTTTACTGATAAATATTAGATTTTGAAATAGCCTTCACAGGGATTCTCTTATGATTAAAAATTTATGAACTAGGGCTGGGGATGTGGCTCAAGCGGTAGCGCGCTCGCCTGGCATGCGCAGGTCGCTGGGTTTGATTCTCAGCACAACATAAAAATAAAATAAAGATGTTGTGTCCACCAAAAACTAAAAAATAAATATTAAAAAATTCTGTCTTTCTCTCTTTAAAAAAATTAACTAGGTAAGAGTTTGATGATTAAAATAATCCTGATTTCTGAATAAATGTTATTTCCTTTTCTGTAAAATAGTATAATTAATAGCTCATTGTGTCCTTCAAAGGTATGATTGTCACATTTTGAAGGTTGTACCAATCCAAAACCTACTCAAACTTTGTCAGTAAATTAGAGAAGGGAAAAGGAAAAAACTATGGATGAGGTCAGCAGGACTCTGGCAAGTGATTTGGTAGCAGGGTTGACCCCACATGGGGATGGCCATCTATAGTTCATGCCCTCATGTTAATGGCCAGGTTTTTCACTGGGCAGATGATAGCCAAGGGCATCTGTCAACCATGGCAGAAACGAAGCAAGTAATAGCAGTGTCATGGTTACAGGAGGTTTATCTGGTTGTGTCAGTCAGCTTTTCATCACTGTGACTAAAAATCCTGACAGAAACAACTGGGAGGAGGTGAGGTTTGTTTTGGCTCATAGTTTCAGACATCTCAGTTCATGGTCATCTGCCTCCATTGTTTTGAGCCTGAGGTGAGGCAGAACATGATGTCAGAGGGCCTAGTGAGAGTTTCTCAGCTCATGACTGCCAGGAAGCAGAGAGGAAAGGATTAGGGCCAAGATAAATTCTTTCAAGGTGCATCCCAATGAACTATTTTCTCCAACTGGGTCTCATCTCTCAGTAGTTCATGGAGCCCTCAGTGGATTTTTCCATTGGTGAGGTCAGAGCCCTCATGATCCAATCACTCCCCAAAAGCCCATCTCAGGACACATGAGACATTGGGAGACATTCTAGATGCAAACCATAACTTCAGCTTAGAACAAGACTTTACAGGGTACAATATGAAGTTTCTGGGAAGGAGAACTGACAACTACCAGGTGGAAGTTCTAAGCCTTGAGCAGACTGTATGAATATGGAGCTATACATGAAATTGGGAAACTGGGATAAATTCAGTCCTATGGACTGGTAGAGTGCCACTGTGGAGAAGAAATACTGACAAATGGTGACCCAAAGCAACACCAGCCTTGGGGCAGTAAACCTAGTTTCAGCTCATCACCTGCTATTATGACCAGGGAATCCAATAGTCAGGGTGATTCCGAGATAAAGAGGTCCTGAAGTTTATCAAGCTAGAGAATGCAGACCTTAGAAAATTCCACATACAGGGACAGATATTACAGTGCTGAGCACATGTTAATAAATCTTCGTTAACTTTTTTTTCTTGATTGTACAGAACTAAATACATATTTGCTACATGATCTAGGCATCTAAGTTGATATATTAGAAAATGATGTCATTAAATGTGAGAGAAGTACTAATACATAAGGTGGGACATATAGAAATGTTCATACAGTATATAAAATGAATAACACAGAAAAACCTAGCTGGGGATTCATTATATGTAGATTCTAGATATCTGAAGAGCAAGATCTGATGGGGCCCAAAACAATAATCTAAAGCTCAGCTATAGTTCAGATACAGGGAGCCGTTGCATGATTAGGCAGGTTCCTTTGTTTTCTGACAGTTTTTCCATTTTTGACCCAACACCTCCTTACCCTAGGAAACAAGAACCAAAATTGTATTACTGTTTACAATAATAAAATTCCAAGGTTGAATGCAAGATGATTTTAAATGAACCAGTGTTCTCCAAGGAGTTTCAGAGCAGCCAACCGCCTCCTGCTAACCTTGGTACCTTAAGTCTGTCAAAACTAGCCCCTTCAATCACATTTCATTTCATTGTGCTTTGTTTTAATTCATCACAGGGAAGGACTCATCCTAGATTTGTGTTTGCACATAGGTTACCTTCGGATTAGCTTTACCTTGGTGACCTCTCTGCTGCCTCTGGCGTAGTCCAGTTACTCTTGGGAATATCAATTAAGGTCCTCAATCACACTAATTAGAATGTCTTCTAAGTATTGCTTTAGGAGTTCAGCAGCTTATAAACAAGCAAATTGGGAAAATCTAGAGGTGTGCATGGGTTTTTAAAATAAGCCAAAGCAGTTCAGAAGGCCAGATGGTTTCAGTATAGCCAAGTAGTAGGGCTGAAATTACTTGTGCCCAGAATCTCCAATGAACTGTATAGTTGCTCTTGCTGACAAGGATTAATGCAGAATTATTAATTACTTTTATTAATGACTTGGATAAGGACATAGGTAGCATGCTGATCGAGTTTGTAGATGACACAAAGCTAAGAGGATAGCAATTACTGTGACAGCCTCAGGACCCAAGATGATTTCAAGACAGAATTTAGTGGCAGTCCATCCAATACATGCCTAACAGAGTGACCTCCATAAGGCACAACTTGATGATTATATCACTCCTCTAATCAGAAAATATTAATGATTCCCTATTTTCTATTTAAGTTAAATCCCAAGTCTTCAGTCTTCTCTTCATGGCATTGCCATGTTCTGATTCTAAAGCTCTCTCCTTTCCAGAAAATTCTTCTATAGTTCTTTTCTAATATCTTGTACTTGAGCCAAACTGGGCTATTTATAGTCTGTTTCCTATTTTATCTCATATTTTCATTAACTTTGAAGATTATCTCCACCAAGAGTTTCTTTTTTACCACACTTTCTCTCTCAGTTATTACCAGCCAAACCAGTTCTTGTTCAGTCAGAAAGAACCTCTTGTGTTCAGTCAGTGCCTGCTTCAGCTGCAGTCATCACTTTCCTTGCTAATCTTCAATAACATTTATTGTATCCTCTCTATTTTTACCAATTTCTATTTTGTAGTGCAGTTACTTTTTGTACACAGTTTAAGTCCTTGCTAGACTCTGCCTAGTGCTGTAACTTCTGTCTGATAAGTCTCTGCCTTTCCTAAGTGCCTGTGCATGTGTGTGTTTTATACACAGTTGATGACACTGAAGTGGTTTGAATGGAGTTTATTCTGCAGAGAAGTGCCTTTAGAAAAGGCTCTATATCTTGCTTGCTAGAGGCCCCTGCAGTTAGTTTATAGTAAATTGTAAACAGAAAATGCTCCTTACTGCCTTACTGTTTTGTTTTGTTTTTTTTTTTTTTTGGTTATTTTTTTGTTTGTTTGTTTTTTGTTTTTGTTTTTGGAAGCGCCCGTGCCTTGTGTATGTTAGGCAGGTGCTTTACCAGTGAGCTACATCCCTAGCCCTTGATACATGTTTATTGAATAAATCATTAACTAATAGGGAACAGTAGATTTCCACAAAGTAATGGTGTAAATATTGGAAAGGAGTGGTTTGGAGAAGAAAGATACATTTAATCTCAGTAAAAGAGCTGCTTGTGTTATAATAAACCCTTTGTAATTTGTGTATGACTAGGCTAGAGAAGGAAGCATGATATGACCCACAGATTTTTGCTGATGTGTGACTAAGACAGGTGACATGGGTTGGAAGCTTACATTGTCCTTTAGGATGACCATACCTTGGACTGCTTGGCAGTACCAGTTTATGCCTTATCTTTCTATGTAATATTCTTAAAAGTGGCCCATTTAATTGATGGTCTAGATCATGCTATTTATTGAATACCTCTTTGGCTGTATTAGGATGGTAGGTCCCTTTGGTTGTGAAACTTGGAGTATAGACTTTTTTGTTGTTTGTTGTTACTGATAATTAAAGCCAAGGACACTGTACCACTGAGCTATATCCCTACATTCCTAGACCTTTTTATTTTTTTTCCTCTGAGACAGGGTCTTGCTAAGTTGCTGAGGCTGGGCTTGAACTTGTGATCCTCCTGCCTCAGCCTCCTGTGCAGCTGGGATTACAGGCTTGTGTACCATGCCCAACTGCATCATAGGTTCTTTGAGATAACAGCTGTCAGCCTGATGTGGGTATAAATTCCCTTTCTGTCACTCTCCAGAAACATGATCTGGACAAGTTACCAAGACCTCTGTAAGCATCTTTGTATGGCTGTTTTCTTCAAAACAGATAGCAGAGGTCTTGAGCAGGGAATTTCTGAGTCATCTCCAGGTTTCAGGGTTTATAAACCTACAGAGGATTTACCAGTGGTCAGACATATCTAGGGTAGGAGGAAAATAAATTCCTTCCAGAGTTGTTAAATCTCTAGGTCTTCTGCATTAAAGATCACACAACCAAATGCAAGGGCAGGGTTTCTGCTTGTTGGCAGCTTCAGCTGGTTATCAGTAGGAAGGCTAGAGATCACAGAAATTGGACTCCTGCCTCATCATCTGTCTCTTCCAGTGAGAAGAGTAAGAGCAGCAGGGCAAGGAGTTTATATATTTCCCCTTAATATAAATTCAGATTGTGGTGGACGACAGACTAAGTCTGCATCCAGGACTTCTAGATTTTCCATTCATCACTAAGAAGGAAAAGTACCTGGATCCTAAAATATTCTCCACTGGAATAGACCAAAGGACCTCAGAAAAGGGTAGGAAGATCAAATTTCTCTGCCAGAAATGTGACTCCTGGTCAAATATCCAGATGAATATATATATATAAAATGCAGGCAGTTATAGTTTTATGATTAAGAGAGAGTTCTGGAACCTGATAGCTAGTGTTTGATCACAGTGCCACCTATTTGTAGCCAAAAGATCTTGGTTATGTAACTTTGACTTGTCTGGGTTTCCTTATGTATATGTATTTTGGAGGTTAAATAATAAATGACAAAATAAAACCCCTATAATTGGTAGGCTCTAACAACTAAACCTGTTGGTATTATAAAACTTTCCTAGCAGCTCTCACTCTATGATCAGTATTCCTACAATCTAGTTTTTACTGTTTAAGCACTGGAGAGTAGCAAATGCTTTGCCTTACCTTTGTGTCTATCTTGACAGGATGGGACTTCGGTGGTGTGTAATGAGTCTCTGCTTCTATGGGATCCTGCAGGTTGATGCCTCAGGTAAGTGAATGACTTTGGACAACCAATTGAAGTTTAAGTCATGTTCAGGGCAATGTATCCACTCTTTCTGAAGACTAATTTAAAAGAAAATAATGTTTCTGTCCATTATCTTCTGTGGTAGCACAGAATCATAGGTTTGACAGACTTGTAGGAGGAATCATTGATGTCTCTAGTCTTCATGGACACAGGACCCTTTGGTAATGTGGTCCACTGAGTATAGATAGGGGACATTTTTATCACCTTCAAGACAATTAGAAGACTGCTTCGTTTCCCTTACCCTAGGACCAATGGGAAAACAAATGGCACTGATGGTAGCACTGTCTATTTCTCAAGCTTGACCCTGCAGTGAGGAAGGCCTCAGTGGTTAATAGATAACTAAGACCCTAAAAACAAACCAGACACCAAACCAAAAATCAGAAACCAAATCAAAAACCAATGATGAGTTTCTGCTGTAATACTTCTTTATAGGAAAAAAAAAAAGGACTTGTCTATAGGCTCATTCTTTCCTGGGAGGTTACTTTGTAAGAGGAGCCAGCCAAGACCTTTACTGAGTTTGAATAAATGAGGAGCCATTATCAACCCGGATCATATGAATTCAGAGTTGGAAGGCCCTTGATATTAGAAAGTGCATGTTTTGCCATCTCCTCTCATTTCCAGCATTGCTGTTCAGAATCATCCCCTGGTACTTCTAACTAGTGATCACCCATTGTATTTTTGGATTGATTGCATTTTTAGAAAGTTTTTAGTACAAACAGAAATTTTTCTTTGTCATTATCATACATGTTTTCAGTTCAGCTGTATGATTGAAACAGAAAATAGTTAATGCAATGTTTCTTTAAATTTAATACAAGGAATGTGGGGATCCTCATTTGAAAAAAAGATTTCCATGTATAATTTTTTTCTCCTGAATACCATGGACTATACTTTGAATATCTTTGCTTTAACTCTTATTCTATGTGAGAAGGCTTCAGAAATGTTGAATCAGCGATTATATAATTAGGACCCCAGTGTTCTGCAATATATAACTTCAACACTGCTTCACGTGGCATGGATTTGAGCCCTCCTACCAACTGATCATCCTTGCTGGGTGCATTTCAGTTTTCTATGCCACTTAAAGCATTGTATTAGAAACCAAAAATAGCTCTAAAGGAGGGGTAATAACTAGGACAGAGCTGAAAGCTGAAAGTAGAGATAACTTCTAAACTTGTTGGCCCTTTGGGACTTCACAGAGGAAAGGATATATTTTAACAAGGGATGATATTCATTGAGATATACTGCTATATAGATGGTGTATACTAGAATCACAGCATTTCTCCTACTTGTTTGTGTTTCTCATTTGATTGTGACTGACTCCATGAGTCCTGATTTTTAAATATGATATGTCAAGAGCTTTGTAATGTTTTGAACAAGTAATAAAAAAATAATAATTATAAATAATAAATAAATAAATAAATATGTTGACTATAACCCCCACTGTTAATTTGCTCTTGTTTGATTTAGTTCTGTTTCAATGTTAACTACTCACATTCCTTCCATTCTTGTCCATTTCAACTGAAACAACCCTGCCAATCACTTTTTATTCCTCTGCTGTCTTTCATTTTCTCCATACCAGATATTATTTCCTGAATGACATTAACTCTTTTCTTCTCTCTTCTTCTCCTACCTGTCCTCCTTCTGCTCCTCCTCCCCACTCTTTTTTCTCCCTAAATACCTGTTCTCCTCTTCTTTCTTCCTTCCCTCCCTCTCTTCATCATTCCTTCCTTCTCTTGGTTTTAGCTACCCGAGGGCACAGATTTGTCCATCTGTTTGATCTCCAAACATTTGGTATGATGAATGACACACAGAGACATAGTAGGTGCTCAATACATACATGTTAAATTGATGAATAAGTGTTCCTCCATATCTCCCTCTTTTTAATACCCCCTCAAACTGGCTAGCTTTATACTAGAAATGTTTAAATCCATACTAGTAATTCATTGTGGTTCCATGTTCTGCTTCACCTTTAAGGAAAAGGAGAGGTGACCATGTCTCTCTTGTTGAAAGATCAAAGAATTCTGAAGTTCTTGAGAGCTGGTTCCTCCTCAGTGGAACAGAGCTGCTTTTTTGAATGACCTTTACTGTAATCCATCCAAGGAGTGTCCCTTCCCCAAATGCCATTGGTAAAGGAGCTCTCTACCCAGGAACTGTGACTCATACTTCTGCCAGGGGAAGCTGACTTCTTGAATAAGATGAGTTCTCATTCCAGCCCCATTGAGTCACCATGGGAGCAGGAAACATGCTGTAATCCCCTCGGCCCATCTGGCACTTACTCATTTGCCTTCCTCATGAAGAGGTGTATTGTGTCTGCCTCAGGGCCGCACTTCCTAGTCGGAGGGAAAGGAGTCAAAAGGAAGCATTGTTGACAAAAATAAAAGGGGCAACTGACTGTGAGGAGGAAAGGGACCATTGCGCATCTTGAGGGATCAACCAAGTTCTCTGTGTGAGAAGGTATCGCTTTTTATGATGGAGATGCTGGCTGACCTGCTGGTCTTCAGTGAGGCTCTCTGTGCTTATCTTAATGGAAGCATCAGTTTTTAAAAGGAGCAAAAAGAGAGAGAGTCTGAAAACCTCAAAGCACTCTACATGCATATGGGATTATTAAGAATCTTATCTGTTGTTTGGGGACTGTCTATGGAATCTCCCTTTAAAGAGAAGTTTCCAATTTTAAAAAAGGAACCATAACAACTTCATGGTTTAGTGGTATGCAGTGAGGCACGGCATTCTGACTTCCAGATATGGTCTTCTGGTAGCAGAACTATGATTTCTTACCCTCCAGGGGTGGGTTTGCAACATTGATATCTCAGGTAGTGACAAAAGCAAATAATAATTTTTTAAAAAAAATCATCATTATTTCCTTTTAAGGAATTAAATCATAGATAATTATAAAAATGATATATAATTATAATGTAGTAGAGTAATAATAATAAGGTTCCCTTTGTTTAAAAAGCAGTTTGCATTTTACCTATTCAATGTCATTTGGTTCTCACACCTAGATTATCAGGTGGCTGTGGCTATTAAACTCCCCTTTTTTGGATAAGAAAACTTAGAAGCAAAATGACTAAGTGAACTGCCCAAAGTCACACAGGTAATAACTTAGCATAATTGAGACTTCAACTAGTTTCTCAGTTCCCAAGACCCATATTATTCTTACTAGATATGCTTCTTTGAGGCCCTGGCATAATGTAAATAATTTAGAAAGAAGTCATGATCCATAGAATTACAGGTAATCATTTTGAAGGAGTCACAAGTAATCATTTTGCTAATTGTTGAAGAATTACTCAGTAATGGTTTTCTGTGCTGCCTAGGCAAGGAGTGTCTTTACAGTTTCAAGACCTTTTCTTCGGAAGGAAAATCATGACAATCCTAATTTCAAACCTCAGTATTCTCATTTTTGCTTTTTATAGTATTTAGTATTTCCACTATTAAACTCAAAGAAGTTTCCATTTGCAACAATTAAAAAGGAAACTCTGGAGTCACCACACATTTCTCCTTGGTATGTTTCCTATTAGCTGCATGTTAGAAACGTAAACTGTTAAAGCTGCCTTCAGACTAGAAATAAAGACGTGGAACCGTTGATTCCAAAATGGGGGAGACAGTGAAAGTGACACCATATCCTGTATGGTGAACTTGAAAGATATTGCCTCAACAAAAAACATTTGCTGTGCAGATCATATAAGAAAGAATATGCACTGCATTATTTCCTCAAAATATGAATGTACCTACGGATCTTTGAATATAGCTTTTTATTTCAAAGTCAACAGTTAACTATATGCTAACTGCAGGGTTAAACTCCAAAATATTCTCATTGGGGTAAAGGGGCTGTTTTATAGTTTAGGAAATGAAGAGCCAGGGAGATAGCTTAAGCACATGATGCTCATGATAACATGTCTGATAGAGCTGGTTTTGAAGGCTGCCTTGACCTCAGAAGCAGGGCTCTTTCCTTGATATCACATTGCCTTGTTTCTGCTATTGAAAGTAAAATCCTTTGATTTCCCTTCCGTAATGTTTTTATGAAATTTGAAGAGAGTGGAGATGATCTATTGATTTATTGGGCATGAATTAAACAATATAAAATAAACAAATTAGTAAAGACACTGAGTTATGCTAGTAATTTACCATATTAAGTTCTGATTGTTGTTTTACTGCACAAGCTGTTTAATGACATTTAAAAAAATCATTTCATCACTTTTTGTCACTATGTTCTGACCTATAAACCAAACCAGCCAACCAACTAACCAACAACAGCAGCAGACCCCAACTAATTCAAGCTTGTTTTCATTAAGGAAGATTATGCCTTATAGATACCCATGAGGTACACCCTTCTTATTCCTCAGCTAAATGGCTTCTAAGGACAATTTTAACAACAATGATTTTATTACCTTCTAAAGTTAATGCATTTGAACATTCTATTTTCCAGAATCTAGGGTGAAAAGGGGGAGGTTCTTGTTTTTTTAAAAAGTCCTACATTAAAATTTGAGAAAAAGGATATAGAATAAATGGCCAGTGGGATACCATGAGAGAGCAGAGAAGTTAATAATTGTTTCAAGAGGTAGTGAGGAAGCCTTCTCCATCAATGAATAAGTGCCCTTTCCTTGGAGGAAATGCATTTCTTATTTGGGAAGAGAATAGTACAGGGTAACGGAAAGGATAGTGTAAAGGCGATTCGAAACCAAGCCAAGCTGGAATGAGAGGTTGGGAACAGATTGTGGAGCACAGGAATCCATTCAGAAAAAGACAATCATTGTGTTTAATGTATTTAAATATAGTTGGCTAGAGTGCTTCCACTCCCCAACCCCAAATTCTATCTTATTTCTGCAAGGACGTATCATGTCTTTAATGCTACGTAATGGTCCTTTCAGCTTTTGTTAGGAATTCAATTTGTTGCCAGCCTCAATGGCCTCATTTTATTTGAATGTGCTTTTGAAAAACTCCACCAGACGTGCTTGTGACATTCAGTCCTG